ATGGGGCTACCAAGCGTGTGAGGGGCGTGCCGCGATGGGCGGGGGAGACGCATGCGAACCGTGCCGCTGAGGCCTTCGGTTGGACTTTCTCTGATGCCGCGAAACTCGTATCGCAATGGGCGGGGGAAACGCATGCGAACCTCGCTATTGGGCCGTTGGGTGAAGCTCCTCCCCTCTGGGGCCCACGCAGCGTGTAAGGGAGTGCCCAATGTGCTGTAGGAGTGCGGGATGCCAGATTGGAATGAGTAAGGGTAGAACACGAGAGAACGAGGGGACGAGGTCGCTGTCTATTAAGACGGAGACCCAACACGACAGGACAACCTGCGTATATGTTTGGTGGTACTTCGGGTCCCCACAGGCAACACCACATGTGTATATGAGTGTTTGGTGGTTCTCAGCCTTCGCAAGCTGATGATGAGGAGTATTACGAGCATTGGGCGCAATCTCGGATCTTTTCCTGAACCGACGAACGAGACAGGAGGAGGACGAGGAGGAGAAGGAGGAGGAAGATGAGGGGACGATCAAATTTCGGAGGAGGAAACAGTTATGAAAACATACGTCGGTATGAAGACAGTTTGGGGGCGGCCGTTTAAAAAATTGCCGAGCCTTCGGCGTGTGGAGGAGGCTGTCGTCGTCGTCGTCAGTCAGCATTCCCAAAGGTATTGAGGAACAAAGACACGAATCATCGTAAATAAGTCGATTGGAACCCCCTTCCCTTTATCGTTTCCCGGCCAGGGGGTGGGAGTGGTGGGGGGGGCGTGGGGGAGGGGGCTCCCGCGTCAAAATACTGCCTCCCCGGCCACCGACTGGTCCTGGGGAAGGGTCGCCAGCGGGGGTCCCGGGGGAAGTCACGCCTTCAGGGTCGGCGGTATCGGCCACAAGGCCTTCGTAACATGTGCAGGTCATGGATGCCAGCGTCCGTGGTTAAACATCTCTGTGCACACGTGCATCACTATACATGTATGTGTGTATGTGTGTATGTATGAATGTGTGTATGTTTGTCTGTCTGTCTGTCTGTCTGTCTGTCTGTCTGTCTGCCTGTCTGTCTGTCTGTCTGTCTGTCTGTATGTATGTATGTGTGTGTACATATATAGAGTTGCATGTGTGTATGTGTGTATATAGATATGTGTGTATGTGTGTATGTGAGTGTACGTAAGTGTATGCGTGTGTATGTAAGGGTGTGTGTATGTATGTAGGTATGCATGCATGCATGTATGTATGTATATATGCATGCATGTATGTATGTATGTGTGTATGTAAGTCTGTATGTCTGTATGTCTGTATGTCTGTATGTATGTAGGTAGGTCTGTATGTATGTACGCATGTATGTTTGTATGTGTGTAGGTACGTGTGTATAGTTGCCAGACAAATACGCATTTCTATAACAATGTGCATGCGATGTGTACATCTATGACCCATAACGCGCCCGACTCACAGTCCTACACTCTCAATTGTCGTGGTCCTGTACCACGCGCCCGCCCATCGTACAATGAACAGAACATCTGCATGCCGAGGCCCTCGAAATCCCACCAGCCCTCTGGGCGTAGGTGGTCTAGGGAGGCTCCTCTTCCAACCCCCTCCTTCCCCTTCGGGGAGGGGTTTACCCCTCCCCCTTCCCCTCCTGGACACTGGAACGGGGGTTTCCGGGTAGTTGAGCGTGCAGGATGCCCAAGACGGCTCCAAGATCGCCTCGGAGAGCCCAAGATGAGCTCCAAGATGGCTGAAGATAGCTTAACATCAAGATGGCTCCCAAGATGCCCCCCCCAAACCCCAAGACTGCTCCAAGACGGCTTCAAGAGGCTTTCGAGACCGTCAAGGAGGCCTCCAAGAAACCAGAATCCTTAAACACCGGAGGAACACCAATGATTTGGACATCGGCGCCCGTTCGCTTTCGATATCCTTCCGAAGCATCAAGATGGCTCCAAGATGGCCAAAGAGGGCTCCAAGAGAGCGCCAAGACGGCCCCAAGAGCGCCCAAGAGCGCTCCAAGAGCACCCCCCGAGAGCCCCAAGAGACCGTGTTTGGGGCTCCCGCGGGGCAGCGCTAATTAGGGAGCCCTCTTTTTTCGATCGATGTCCTCCGAGATGGCTCCAAGAGCGTTCCCAAGGCTCCCAAGAGCGCCCCAAGAGGGCCCCAAGAGGCGCCCAGACGGCCCCAAGAGGCGCCCAAGGGGCCTCCAGGCTCCCAAGAGGCCCCCAAGAGGCTTCAAGAGGATTTCGGAGGCACCCAAGATGCCCCCCAGACGCTCCAAAATGCCTCAAACAAAAAAAACGGGAGACATCCGAGGAGGCTCTTCTGATCGTCATTTTTTCCTCCTCCTCCTCCTCCTCCTCCTCCTTTTCCTCATCCTTATACGCCTCCTGCTCCTCCGACCTCCTCACTCTCCCCCGCCTCCTCCTCCGCCTCCGCCTTCTCCTCCTCCTCCTCCTCCTCTTCCTCCTCCTCCTCCCCATCCTCCTCTCCTCCTCCTCCTCCCCTCTCCTCCTCCGCCCCTCCTCCTCCTCCCCCTCCTCCTCCTCCTCCTCCTCCTCCTCCTCCTCCTTTGCATTTCCAAGAGAAACCAGAGGAGACTCCGAGAGTCATTCAAAAGGCCGATGGCTCTCCTGTTTGCCCTCTTTCTTCCTCCTCCTCTTCTTCCTCTTCCTCCTCCTCCTTCGTCGTCGTCGTCATCGGCGTCGTCTTCGTGGTCGTCGTCGTCGTCGTCGTCGTCGTCGTCGTCGTCGGGTGCGTCGTCATTGTCGTGGTCATCGCAGCCGTCGTCGTCGTCGTCCTCGTCGTCGCTCTCTTTCTCTCTCATCCCACCGCCTTCTCCTCCTCCTCCTCCTCATCCGCCCCGTCCTCCTCCCACTCCTCCCACAAGGAGGAAGTAAAAGGAAGCAAGTAGGAATTAGGATAAACAAAAACAGATAGGCGAAAACAAGAAAAGGTACGCGCGAAAACCACGACAGTCGGTATGCTTTGCACGAACTGCTGTTTTGGGATGGGCTGGTGGGGATACTGTTGGTAGGCAAGCACGCGAAGCGGGTCGGACGCCGGGCCAGCGGCTGGTGGGGGTATGCGAAGCGCCAACAATTCGTTGGGACTTTGTGCGCGTGTGATTTTTCACAAACGACTTTCGATGGAGCCATCTCCACCACGGACCCCGACCATCCTGTACCCTCTGTCTTTTGACACCTGTTGTCCCGTAGCCCCTGCGACAGAACCCACTCCACATACACCCTGGCAACGCAATGTGGATCATGTTCCGGCGCCCCGAGACCACTTTAAGATATTCATTGGCAAAGGCAGCATCTTGCCTGGTGTGTGCAAGCCCTACCATCCCTGTCAACAAAATGAAACGTACACGTTGCTGCGTAAATTTTGGCCCATGGGCAGGCTCCCCGCGATCACTTTGTATTGAGATGGGTGCCCGGGTATTGTGTGTGAGTGGTGTGTGTGTGTGTGTGTGTGTGTGTGTGGGCTCACCGTTCGTCAAGAACAGTGCAAAGTGTTTGTGGGCGTGCGGGCGACACCATGCTATCCACCCTGCCGCTGCTTCGCATTGCCCTTTGACTCGGATGGTGGGGGGTCTCCATGTTTCCCGATGTGTTATCAAATGTACTGGCGTACTTGGTATATTTGCGAGCTCCGCGCACGTAGCGCACCCGGCGCAGGTGGACTACATGGCAGACTTGGCCAATGTAGAGCCCGCAGCACATCTGGCGAACCTGCATGCTTTGCCTCAAAGAGGGCCAACACTGCCAAATATGGCCTCAGAGATGCCCGAGATGGCGGCCAAAGAGCCCAAGATGCTCCCCCAAGACGGCGCAAGATAATGTCAAGACTGTCCGAGCCAAGAACGACTCCCGGAGGCCCCAAAGAAAGCAAAATAACTGGTCCCCATAAGTTTTTCATATTCTTTGCGCGTTCTCTCTTTGTGGGCTTCCGCCAGCCGAAGATGTCCTCACAGGTGTGCCACGTTCCAAGACGGCCCCCAAACAACCCACGAAAGGCCCAAAACGGGCCAAGAGGCCCCTAAGATGGCCGCAAGAGTCCCCAAGACGGCCAGAATAACCTCCTAGACGGCCCTTCAGCGCCCCAAGGGAGCCCAAAGATGGCCCAGGCAAGCCCAAGACGGGGGCCCCCAGGGGCGTCCGACGGGCTAGGCAATCCCTGAGACGGCCCAAGGGGCCCCAAAGAGCCCCCCAGAGGTCTCCAAGAGGCCTCCTCCTCCTCCTCCTCTTTCTCCTTGTCCTCCTTGTCCTCCCCCGTTTCTCCTGTCCCTCTTCCTCCCCAAAATATTTCGCCAAGGGTTTCCACAACGGCAGGCGACACATAGCCGAACACATCGGCAAGACTTGGGCCCAACGTTTGGCCACATGGGCGATTGTAAAAGGCAGGGGGCAACGGTGGTTCGCCGTGGGCATCTATGATATGTAAGTGCATGCCAATTTATGTATGCATGCATGCATTTTCTCACATTTCGTTGTATGCGTCTATATGTATATGTACATGTAGGTGCAACCAATATGCGACATTTCTTACTCATACGTGGGCTATTTGGCCTTCACCCTTCGTGCTCCCTGCGATGACCGGACGACCTGTGCGCATATTATCGGAATACATGTGGGACACACCAAATATTCGTTTCCAATGTATGTTCGGCTCGTACCGCACGTGTTGGCGAGGCGTACTTACGGGTACGAGACACCGACCCCCGGCCGCAATTATGAACAAACCCGACAAGAAGGCTTCGCCATCGGGAAAGAACTGTGCGCCCAGAATGAATGCAGTACTTCATCCGAGTGAAACGTCGGACGTGTCCATCTCTGCATCGATAAATGCGAGCAACGTCATTCTGAATGATCGGTCCGGGGTGCTGAACAACGTATGCACGACGCAAGATCAAGTCGGATACGCACACATCTACATACATACTCACATCTACATTTGAACATCTGTTTACGTGCATGTATATATATACATACAGGTACGTACGGTTGTGGAACACACACATACACCATTGTTGTATGCATACGAACACATACTGCAAAGTAGGTGCCCCGTTGCATTCGTAGGGTATGCCCTTCTGTGCAGTGTGTTCCCGCTCAGCGTAGATCCGTGCGGGCTGCCACTCTTCGCCGACACGTGCGCGCCGCGATTCTTACATCGATGGACCGGTGATCTTCCAGTACCTATCAATATGTGTATATATATATAAATATCTAGACATGCCAATACGGCTAGTCGTGTGGCCGTACGATTTGGTAGCTGTGGCCATCAGGAATGGCGCATGACCAACACGTTCTCGGTTTCGAGCTTCCTGCAACCTGCCCGCATTCCAAAGCACATATCCGTGTAAAGGAAGGGCCATGGCAGGGGCGGCAGAGTAGGCAAAACATGGGACGGGTCGAGGGGTGCGGGGAAGGAGGGTAGAGGGGGAAAGGAGGATGGGATGGGGAGGGAGAGGATGTGATGAAGAAGGGGAACGGGACCGGGGAGGGGATGGCAACGGTTGCGAGGGGGTGAGTACAGAGGCGACAAGGAAACAGATGACAAGGATGGGATAGAAGGGGAGGGCATGGCGGGGATTGGATAGAAGGGGAAGGCACAGCGGGGCGAGGGGAAGGGAAGGAGAGGGAACAGGAGCTCGGGGGGGGAAGAGAAGGCGAGGTGCGGTGGGCGAGGAGGGCAAGGCAGGTGGGGCAATGATACAGCTGGCTTCTGTCGGCGGCGAGCGAGGGGTGTACTGAGAACGACAAAGCCTTCTCAGAAGGCGGCGGGACTTCTCAGAAGCCATCGCGCCTTATGAACAATTTTGTGTGTCTTCGGGGGAAACAAAGAAAACTGCTCAGAAGGCCGGGAGACTTCCGAGCTCTCTGAGAAAGCCCGCCGCTTCTCGCTTCCCCCCCGCGCCCGCCGCCGATTCTTCGTCAGCTCGGCCGTGCACGCCCGAGGTGAAAGAGCTGCCGCAGATCGTGGACCTCTGGCCTGCGGCAGCCAGAGCGACGACCCCACCTGACGGCCAAGAGGGCCTCCAGAGGGCACCGCAGAGGGCCAGGCGGGGCCCCCACGTGGCCACCAGAACCCAGGACGGCCCAAGCTGGCCTCTGGTCCCCCTCCCCCCCCCTCCCCCTTCCAGGAGCAGAGCAGGCGGGCCAATGCTGTGACTGCGGAGGAAAGGGTGTGTGTGTATGTACACATATATGCACACATACACGCGCACACACACATATATATATATATATATATACGTATCTATGTGTGTATATACATATGGATGTACATGCATATGTGTATGTGCAGGTGTGTGTATATATATGTATATATATATATATATTTATATGTATATATAATATATATACACATATATATATGTATATATATATGTGTGCATGTGTATATATATATATATATATATACACGTGTGTATGTGTATGTGTGTATACACACACATATATAGCAACAGAATAATTACATGCTCAATCAGCCATGGCAAGAAATTATAGAACATACATTAAGCATAGTAGTTTGCCACACACACTATATATATGTATATATATGTATATATATATGTATGTGTATATAGATGTATATATATATATACATATATATATGTATATATATACATCTATATAATTAAAATCTTGCCATGACTGTTTGAGCATGTAATCATTCTTTCCTATATGAATGTGTATACACACGTACACACACGTATATATATACATACATACATACACACATACATACATACACACACATATATATACATATATATATATATATATATATACATATATATATACTCAGCGTGTTACACAAAAGGTTAATATCATGTTTTTTTGTATGTTTTCAGAAAAATAAAGAAAAGGACACCAAGAAACAAACAACGAAAGAACAACAAACCGAGTTACCTGAAATGTCAGTTTCGTAATTTGCATTATTCGGTCTTCTATTCATGTTTCGTTGATTCGTTTCGTTGTGGGTTTGATTTACTTGTTATATCACCATAATTGTTGTAACATTTTTTTTTTTTTTTTTTTTTTTTTTTTTTTTTTTTTTTTTTTTTTTTTTTTTTTTTTTTTTTTTTATATATATATATATATAATATATATATATATATATTATTATTATTATTATTTTATATATATATATATATATATCGTTTCATTCATACTTATTTGCTTGGTTTCTTTATATTTTTTGGTAATGCAGGAATTCGTGTTTGGGTAATTCGAACGAGTTCCTATTATTATGGCCAAGATTTCAAATTGATTATTTGAGTTCGAGCAATGCTGAAATTTCGAAGAATAATTTACACAAACGAGAATCATATAGATTCCGGCGCGCCAGAATTGCCTTGCCGGGAAATTCGTGGAATAGTTCTACAAGTGATTTGTATTTAAATAAAACCATATTACGTTTAATTTCATTTGTTGGATTCAATTGGCGTCAAAAGGTAATGAATTAATCCAATTGAATATGATAGAAAATAATTCGAACACATCAACTAAAGTTGGAGATTAAGTAGATAGAAATATTTGAACATATCTGCTGGAAAATACAAATAATTTGTTTGTTTGTATATATGCATATATATATATATACATGTATACGCATACATCTATATATACATATATATATACATATATATATGTATATATATATATATATATATATATATATATATATATATATATTATATATCGCCTCGCCCCCCAGCACCCACTGATTTTCATCGCGGTTCGCGCTGATCGCACTCGCATTTTCTTTACTGCCAGATTCGGTTCTCGCCCTGAGACGGCGGCATCGAATAATGAACGTCATCTGGAGAGCCAACCACTTGATCCTGCATCTCCTTCCCCTCTTTCACCTCGTCCATCCTCCTCCTCCTCCTCCTCCTCCTCCTCCTCCTCCTCCTCCTCCTCCTCCTCAACCTCAGAAGATGCAAGCGTCCGCTTCCCCCGCCTTTGGGAGAACAGGTGTAAGATATCAGCGGCAGCGCTAACAAGAACGATAAGCGAACCATATGATTTCTCAGGCATTCCAGGGATGCACAGGGATGCTAAATGACGATCGCTGTGCAGGCTCAGGGATCCCAGGGATTCCAGGGATGCGAAGTCACGATCCCTGAGCAGGCTCAGGGACCCCAGGGCTTCCAGGGATGCGAAGTCACGATCCCTGTGCAGGCTCAGGGATCCCAGGGATCCCAAGGATTCCTAACCCTCCAGCAAAACCGACCTGGGGATCCACCAGCGATCCCGCGCTCAGAATCCCTGGGATCCCTGAGCCTGCTCAGGGATCGCGACGTCGGTTGTCAGCAAACCATATGATTTCTCAGGGATCTCAGGGATTCCAAGGATGGCAAGTCACGATCCCTGAGCAAGCTCATGGGTCCCAAGGATTCCAGGGATGCGGAGTCACGGTCCCTGTGCAGGCTCAGGGATCCCAGGGATCCCAGGGATTCCTAATCCTCCAGCAAAACCGACCTGGGGATCCACCAGCGATCCCGCGCTCAGAATCCCTGGGATCCCTGAGCCTGCTCAGGGATCGCGACGTCGGTGGTCAGCAAAACATATGATGTCTCAGGGGTCCCAAGGATTCCAGGGATGCCAAGTCACGATCCCTGAGCAGGCTCAGGGATCCCAGGGATTCCAGGGATGCGACGTCACCATCCCTGTGCAGGTTCAGGGATCCCAGGGATCCCAGGGATTCCTGACCCTCCAGCAAAATCGGCCTGGCGACTTCGCAAAGATTTGGGGGGTTGGGAATCCCTGGGATCCCTGGGATCCCTGAGCCTGCACAGGGATCGTGACTTCGCATCCCTGGAATCCCTGGGATCCCTGAGCCTGCTCAGGGATCGTGACTTCGCATCCCTGGAACCCCTGGGATCCCTGAGAAATCATATGGTTTGCTGACAACCGACGTCGCGATCCCTGTGCGGGCTCAGGGATCCCAGGGATTCTGAGCGCGGGATCGCTGGTGGATCCCCAGGTCGGTTTTGCTGGAGGGTTAGGAATCCCTGGGATCCCTGGGATCCCTGAGCCTGCACAGGGATCGTGACTTCGCATCCCTGGAATCCCTGGGATCCCTGAGCCTGCTCAGGGATCGTGACTTGGCATCCCTGGAATCCCTGGGATCCCTGAGACATCATATGGTTTGCTGACCACCGACGTCGCGATCCCTGAGCAGGCTCAGGGATCCCAGGGATTCTGAGCGCGGGATCGCTGGTGGATCCTCAGGTCGGTTTTGCTGGAGGGTTAGGAATCCCTGGGATCCCTGGGGTCCCTGAGCCTGCACAGGGATCGTGACTACGCATCCCTGGAATCCCTGGGATCCCTGAGCCTGCTCAGGGATCGTGACTTGCCATCCTTGGAATCCCTGGGATCCCTGAAAAATCATATGGTTTGCTGACCACCGACGTCGCGATCCCTGAGCAGGCTCATGGATCCCAGGGATTCTGAGCGCGGGATCGCTGGTGGATCCCCAGGTCGGTTTTGCTGGAGGGTTAGGAATCCCTGGGATCCCTGAGGATCCCTGAGCCTGCACAGGGATCGTGACTTCGCATCCCTGGAATCCCTGGGATCCCTGAGCCTGCTCAGGGATCGTGACTTCGCATCCCTGGAATCCCTGGGATCCCTGAGAAATCATATGGTTTGCTGCCAACCGACGTCGCGATCCCTGAGCAGGCTCAGGGATCCAGGGATTCTGAGCGCGGGATCGCTGGTGGATCCCCAGGTCGGTTTTGCTGGAGGTTAGGATCCCTGGTCCCTTGGGATCCCTGAGCCTGCACAGGGATCGTGACTTCGCATCCCTGGAATCCCTGGGGTCCCTGAGCCTGCTCAGGGATCGTGACTTCGCATCCCTGGAATCCCTGGGATCCCTGAGCCTGCACAGCGATCGTCACTTAGCATCCCTGTGCATCCCTGGAGTGCCTGAGAAATCATATGGTTCGCTTATCGTTCTTGTTAGCGCTGCCGCTGATATCTTATACCTGTTCTCCCAAAGGCGGGGGAAGCGGACGCTTGCATCTTCTGAGGTTGCGTTAGAACTAGCATTCCGCTTCCAACACGTGACTCGGGAAAAGGAACGGAAAGGAGCAGGGATGATGAGAAGAGGATGCGTCTCCAGCTTCGTGGAAGAGGGAGAAGGCGTAGAGTGGGTGCTGGGGGGGGCTGTCCATATATATATATATATATATATAGGCAGAGAGATAGAGAGAGATCGAGAGAGAGAGAGAGAGACAGAACAAGAGAGAGAGGGAGTGTGTGTGTGCTGCTTACAAAACATACCGGCCAATATCTAGGCATCTCTGCAGCCCAATTCATAGCAACATGTCCGCATACTAGAAACGTATGCA